GGCCAGTGGTGGCGAACCTATGGCACGGGTGCCAGAGGTGGCACTCAGAGCCCTCTCTGTGGGCACCCGTGCCATCGCCCCAGCCAGGCCCAGACCATCATTAAAGTGTCGAATTCTCTGCCAAATAATTTTAAGTAAATGAAAGCATTTGGGATTGCTTCCCTTACTTTGTTTGGATCATATGCCCTGTAAGCCGCCCTGAGCCTCCGGGGAGGGCGGGATAAAAATGTAAAGGTAAAGGTAAAGGTTCCCTTGCTCGAAAGCCAGTCGAATCCGACTCTAGGGTTGCGGTGCTCATCTCCGTTTCAAAGCCGAAGAGCCAGCGCTGTCCGAAGACGTTTCCGTGGTCATGTGGCCGGCATGACTAAACACCAAGGCGCACGGAACGCTGTTACCTTCCCACCGAAGTGGTACCTATTTATCTACTTGCAATTTCTTGCTTTCGAACTGCTAGGTTGGCAGGAGCTGGAACTAGAGACAGGAGCTCACCCTGTCTTGCGGCACCCGGGTCTTGAACCGCTGAACTACTGACCTTCCACAGCCTGCAGTTCAGCGTCTTAACCACTTGAGCCACCGCAGCTCCAAAAATGTAAATAATAAATAAATAAATAAATAATATCATAAGTTAATGTAGGAGTTGTTTTTTTCTAAAGTAAAACCTCAGTATTCAGGTTAAATTGCCGTGTTGGCACTTTGCGATAAATAAGTGGGTTTTGGGTCGCAGTTTGGGCACTTGGTCTCTAAAAGGTTCGCCATCACTGCCCTAGGAAGTAGCAAAGCAGTCCATGAACACTGAATAGCTCTGCTTGCTAATCAATAGAAAACTTGCTCAGGTGACCTTCTGGCTGTGGAGATCCAACAATTTCTGTCCCATTTTTACATCCCTAAGGGCAAGACTAAGAGCCAAAATTCTCAGCATTGTAGATCTGTGGCCTACACCATACACCAATTACCAAGTACACACAGTCCTGTCTGTGTCCTCGGACAAAGAAGATGGCCACTTTCAGGGGGGCCCAGACAAAGAATCCCTATCCCCACACATCACCCAGACCTGACACAAACAGTATATGAAAAAATCCATGACTTGCGGTAATAGATGCGCATAGAACTTCCCACCCACCCACACTCATTCTTTTCCTCACATTTATATCCTGCCTGTCTACCATGAAATTCAGTACAGTGATATCCCCACAACAGCCTGTGAGGTAGGTCTGGCTGTGAGAGACAGACACACACAATGGCCCACTCGAAGTCAAACCTTCCCCCTCAAAGGGGTTGCTGAATTTATAGCCACCCTCTCAGTGCCACCTTGCCCAGGTCCCCTAGTTGCCCCCCTTAGTTGCCCTGCTATTCACCTGGAAGGATATACTGCCATTCCCAAAGGCTCCATGGGGGCTCGAGGAAACACCCTGAAATGTAGCTGTCAGCATGGTCTCGTTGATCTTACCACCGAGGCTTTCCCAGGTAAAATTGGCCAAATTGTAGGTGGGGTAGAAGTCATCGTCAGGGACTTTGAAGAGATCTGACGTGTTGACGCCATTGTACTCAAACACCTAGAAATACCCACATTAGAAACCTATGAATGTATAGTCTTTTCCACATTTCAGTTGCTAAACCGCCTTGACTCAAGGGATTAAAATGAGGCATCTATGGGGGGGAAAAGGTCTTTTTACCTCAACAAAGCAGGAACACCTTTATTATTAAGTACATTTTTATGACTAGAGTCCTCAAGGCAGCGAGCATGAACACATTAAAACGCCTGAACACTAAAGCAGCATTTACAATAAAATAATTCAATAAAAACACATAGGCATACAACATCAAGAACAGGGAGGAGGCCACAGAACAAAATTCAAGTCCAGTGACACCTTTAAGACCAACAAATGTTTATTCAAGGGAGGAGGCCAAAAACAGTTATTGGGAATACGCCGAATGAAAGAAGTCTTCACCCACTGGCAGAAGGCACCAACACAGTGAGACGGATGGAATCTCCTTGGAGAAGGCATTCCAAAGTCTTGGCACCATGATTGAGAAAGCTTGTTCTTGGGTTGTCATTTGTCTAGCGGTGGCAATTGAAGCAGGGCCTCTGAAGGTGCCTGGATAGAACAGGTAGGTTTATATTGGGAAAGGCTGTCCTTAAAGTATGTTGACCCCAAACCCTATAGGGTTTTAAATGTCAACACCAGCACCTTGCATTGACTTTGGCTCATCTCCTAAGTCTCAAAACAGCCAGCAAGGGCTCCTTTGCAGCTACCCTTTGACCCCACATTTCGCACACAGAGGAATATCAAAAGGATCACAAAGCCAACTGCTGGTTGTTGTGGTATATCTTGCAGTCTTATAGAAGAGAACAAAGAGCCAGATTGACCTGTGAGCCAGGAAACCCCTGGTTCAAATCTCCCATCAAACATTAGGTAGCCTTATGCAAGCTGTTTTCTCCAACCCAGCCTCCCAGTCAATCTAATCAGCAAGATAAGGATTGTAGCAAGGGCCTTCCTTATAGGGCCGTTTAAGGATAACTGACAAAACATGATGATAAAATTGCACAGGTCCTGTCCAGTACGGTGGGGTAAGAAACTCCAACACCCTGGTAAGTAACTCTGATAACCTCTAGAGGACTTATGCAAAGTATCAAGGCGCCACAACACTTACGTTCAGGTAAGTGTGCAATCCTGTGCACACTCATCCAAAAGTAAGTTGGACTGAATTTAGCAAGACTTGCTTCTGAGTAAACATGCATAGATCAGATGCAAGAAGCCGTCCCCGGATGCAAGAGGCTCTTCGATCAAAGGAATGGATCTGCGTGACCCCTTCAGTATGAGAAATCTGGTTCAAAAGGATGCACTCTCTTCAGTTTACAAGCAGTAAGTAGGGACAAAATCTTCTGGGGTCAGAGGGCCTTGGATTCAGCAGCTCTCATTTCAGAAACTAAGCACGGATTTTCACTGAAACCACAGCTATCATCTACCTGCCACCACATGCAACTTTCCCCTGCCTGTTGTGCATGAAAAATTTCCTGAGTTGGCACCCCAATGCAATTTCCCAGGGTTGCCAACTTCCAGGTGTGGCCTGGGGATCTCCTAGAAATACAATTGATCTCCAGGCAACAGAGGTCAGCTCCCCTGCAGAAAATATCTACTTTAGAGGGTGGACTCTGCGGCATTATACTCTATTGATGCCTCTCCAACTAGGAGCTGGCAGCCCTAACTTTTTTTCTGGCTCCTGCCTGAGTCTTTGGGGTCCAGAATGGAAAGGATCCTGCATAGAATGGAAGAAAATACAAGCAGTGAATCCCTTCCCCACCAGCAGAGTGACCACCAAAGCCATGAGCTCATCCAGGATACTCCTGTGCCCTCAGTTTAGTCATAGCCCCAAGCTTATGTCAGTGTGCTTGGCAACCTCTTCCTAAACCATACTGGGAGCAAATCCTCTCCTTATTTTGTAAACTGAAAACAAACCACATCACTCTTCACAGTAAGTGCATTCCCACCTTATCCTCATGGCAGCCATTTTGTGATGGCACCCACCACCCTCTCTTCCTCAAAGGACAGTGTGTCTCCCCCTCCTCCTCATGGCAGCCATTTTGTGATTGGCCCTCCCCCCATGGCAGCCATTTTGTGATGGCACCCACCACCCTCTCAAAATTCCAGAAGTGCTTGCAGGCTCAACAAGGTCAGCAAGCCCCAGACTCTCCACAAAACGCACCTTGGCGAAGATCACTGCTGAGGAATATAAGACACTGCTGGCGGGTTCAATGTGGATGGCTCCCGAGGGAGAGGGAGATAAGAGTTTGGTCCAGTTCACATGGAGGGTGCTGTTCTGACTTCCTGTGTACACCAGCAGCACCGTGGGTGCCCCAATGGTGCTCCACACATAATGGATTGTATCATTGTGGCCCACAGCCCGGACGTGCAAGAGGTTGTCAGAGGAGCTGTTTGAACCAGGGTTGTATTCCAGAGACACCTGGAAAGGACATTTCATGCTAAAGTTTAATTCAGTTGCACAAAGATACACTCCAGTTCTAATATAACAAGCCAGGATCAGGTTAGTTATATTGACTCCTCTTTCAAATGGGTTAGAAAGAGCAGTTTTGCTGAAAACAAGCTATTGGTGGGCAGTCAAGAGGCCCATAAACCTGTTACCCTTCACTCTCTTTAAAGTTACTTCACTCTCAGCAGCAGAACCACGTTTGCCTTTTGCAATATTAAAATGGTAACTTTATGTTTCCTTCATAACATTAAACTCAGCAATACTATAAGCGACACTATAAGAATATGTAACAAGTCTAACACCATAACAAGCAGCGACCTGATCATAGCCATCATATGTAGGGGAAACCAAGAAAAATCCTGTTGTATTTTGCAACCAAATGCCTTAAAACATATTCAGGTGGGTAGCTGTGTGGGTCTGAAGCAGCAGAACCACGTTTGAGTCCAGTGGCACACAAAAGCTTATATACCTTGAATAAAACTTTGTTGGCCTCAAGCCCGGTAGGCTCGCCAATCTCTTTCAATTTCAATTTAAGATCAGTGGCACACAAAAGCTTATATACCTTGAATAAAACTTTGTTGGCCTCAAGCCCGGTAGGCTCGCCAATCTCTATGGTGCTGGCTTGCAGAAAAGACCGAAGAGAACACACAGACTTATAAGGGCAGAGCAAGTCACTCAAGTATCTGGGTGCTAAGCTATTTACGGCTTAAAAATCAGCACCAGCACCCTGAACTAGGCCAGGAAACAATCGAAGTGAGTGGGTCCAACCTGAGCAATACATTCTTTGTGGCAGTTTCTCTCATCTGCTGGATTTTTATTTAGAAAGAAAAAAAGTGACAAGAGGGAACGTTATAAAGGTTTATAAAACTACACGTGGTGCGGAGAGTGCATGTATAGTTTTTTCCACCTAGAACATTAAATGAAATTGGATAGGCAGAAGCTTCAGGCCAAGAAAAGAAACACAGAAAACAAAACCAGAGACCTGGAAGGGACCTCAAGGCTCATCTAGTCCAACCCCTTGCACAATACAGGAAATGCACAGCTACCTCTCCCCCACACACACTCCCCCAGTGACCTCTGCTCTAGACCCCAGAGGAAGGCAACAAACCTCCAGGATTCCTGGGCCAGTCTAGCCTGGAGGAGAATTCCTTCCTGATCCCAAAGTGACAACTGGCATTACCCTGGGCATATAAGAAAGGGCCACAAGAGCTCTTCCTGACCTCCCTCTCACAACCTGCCAGAGAATTTGGAAAGAGGGAATGCCTTTAAGGTAAAGCATAACATCACAAAGAGCCAGTTTGGTGTAGTGGTTAAGTGCGCGGACTCGAACCTGGGAGAACCGGGTTTGATTCCCCACTTCTCCACTTGCAACCTGGCTGGATAAACTTGGGCAAGCCATAGTTCTGATAAGAGCTTGTATAGAAATTTTGCTTTCTGCTTTCTATAATCCATGCCTTCTCCTGTGATTACATTCTGATAACATGCTGTGTCTTATTTCCTCTCCATTTGGCCAGAGAAACTTTATAACCATGCCATATAACCACACATTCTTTCACACTAAGGGAAGAGGCAGACCTGATGGCTCCTGGCTCTGCCTCACATGCAAAAAGTCACGTAGGCAATGGAGAAGCTGGAGTTTGGGGTCATGTGACTGCAGGCGTGGTCTCAAAACTTCTAGCGTATCCCCACATGCAACTATGACAACCAACAATTTGGGCACACCCATGCCCACTCGCAATTGGCTAATACCCACATCTAATTTGTGACTGTAATTGGGCTATAATTGTTTGGTCCCAATGAGAGAGACTCTCTTGCTCTCTGCTCCTGTTCTCTCTACTTGTTTTATGGCACCTAGAAATACTCTCTGTGTCAAGGTGAGAAGAAAATGGTAGGCAGTAAATTTATATCTACTCCAGAAGGTGGGGTAGGGCTGAGTCATTGTCCTGTAGGAGATCCCCAGGCTATGGACATGCTAATGGAGGAGCTTTCCTGAGGAGGTTCTTTTGTTTCCTGAGGAGGTTTCCTGAGGAGCATTCCATCTTTCTGTGTTTATACCTCTGAGGATGCCAGTCATAGTTACTGGCGAAACGTGCAAAATACGTGCCAAGACCACGGCCACACATCCCGGAAAATCTACAGCAACTAATGAACTCCGGCCGTGAAAGCCTTCGACAACATATTGTTCATAAGATCATTACATCTACCAGCCCATATACTATACCCAGCTGAGGTTCCCTCGTGCATTTTGATTTAGGAGGGTTGAATGTATTCTGACCACCACCCCAAAAATTTTACCACCCATTTCACATCAAGAGCATGTATAGAATTTTTTTTAAATGTGCCCCTGAGCATGTGCAGATCGCCTTCCAAGAGTATAACCATGCCTCCAGGATTAGGGACCCAGCTTCCAGAACCTAAGGTTAGGTCTAGAAGTCCTCTTTTAGGATGTTAAAAAACAGGAACAAGAAGAGGGACATTCAAAAGGCGAACTGAAATTACTTTTAGGCGGTTAAAGATTTACAAGCTTTTCTTCAGGAGAAAGCATCTATATGGCTAAATAATAAAGACGTTGAACATCACTTACTAAACCCTTTAGATAAATGGGCTCCAATTATTGATAAAATGAATTTGGATAAGTTCGAATGGGAACATATAAAATCACCCAAATTTAAGATGCTTGTCTTAGGGTGAGAGTTTGTTACTTGTGTTTTCAGCATTTGAAGTTTAGTTAGACATAATGGGTTGCGCAGCCTTTTAAATCGATAGGGCTCTCAGTGTCAACAACATTTATTTTTTGTTTTTTGTAGTTTTGTTTCTTTACTCTGTGTGCTTAATCAATTTTATCAAACATTTAATGTTATTTCTCTGTACTTAATGTATTACGAGGAAGTTCACAATTGAATAAACAGTTATTTAAATTTTTTTTACAAGCTTTGTTTGTTTTCTTTGCATCAAAGGCTCTGTAGACAAAGCAAACCAGTCGACACCCCCACCCTCTGAAGTTTCCAAGAAAAGTGCCCACATCAGCTCTTCCCCTTCTTCCTCTGAGAAAAACAAAGCTGACATACTGCAGAGATGAAACAAACAAGGAACGTTCACCCCTTGCCAGGTCACCCAGATAGCTTTTTCTTGGGCAGGACCCTTAAAAAACAAAGCACCATACCTCACCCAAACAGATGTTTCCATTGATACCATCTCTAACTTGGATTCAACTTCACAGGGAACAGTCAGATTTAATTTACCCTCCCTAGGAGCCTTACAGGAAGAAGTGGGGAAAGAAAACTGAACACAACCACTTAGAACAACCCTGCTGGATCTGGCCAATAGTCCATCTAGACTGGCCTCTCCCCACCCCAGAGGCCAACTCGATGCCTCCAGAGAGCTCAAGCAGGACCCCCGAAATAATAACTCTTCCCTATTGTTTGCCCCATCACTTAGTATTCAGAGGCATAGAACTTCTGAACTTTAGCCATAATGACTAATAGCTGTTGCTAGATCTCTCTGCCTCCCTGATCCTTTAAAACAGCCACCCAAGTTTGTGGCCATTCACACATCTCATGGCAGTGCATTTCTCAAGTTAAAACTGTGTACTTTGTGAAGACACATCTAACTCGTAATGCTGGGTTCAAGACGGGGAATTAAGTTTGGGGGGTGTTCTGGATGACTCTGATCAATCTAGGCCAGATGTCCCCAGTTTGGTGTCTGTGGGCACCATGACACCAAGCGAGAGCTTTTAAGAAAGGAGACAGAGCCAGGTAAAGCTTTTGCCCAACAAGGCTTCTGACTAGCCACTGGAGATCAGATTGGCCATGCAGATTTGTAAAACTATTGCTCCACCACAGCACAAACATCTTCACTGTGTGAATGAAGATAGGCCACAGCAGCCATTTTGCTCCACCTCCTGCAGAAGCCATTTTGTGGCTGTGCCTATCATACTGTGTCAGAATTCCAAAGGGGACTGCAGGCTCAAAAGGTTGGGATCCCTGCCCTAGGCTTGTTGTGCTGGACCCAGTCAGCGTTATCTGTAGTTTAGTAAAACTGCTCTGTATCTTTAAGACTTGTTGCACCTGGAAATTGGAGTCCACAGTTAGGGGTCCCAGAAGCTTCCCTCTGACTGGCTCATTAAGAATAAATTCCTGAGCTCAGAGGATAGGAGTTTTATTGTTCTTTTCCATTTTCTTTGTCCTTCAACCCTTACTGCAAGGAGGGGGGAATACCAGATCATTTAACTCCTAGCCAGAAGTACACCTCAGTAACACTATAACTTTGTTCTGGGTATCATACACAAATAAATACTACAGGTTTGTTCTGGGTTTAATACCCAAATAAATAACTACAAAGTTTGAGTTCAGTGGTACCTTTAAGACCAACAAAGTTTAATCCTGGGTATAAGCTTTCGTGTGCATGCACATGAAAGCTTATTCCGAGATTTAAACTTTGTTGGTCTTAAAGATGCCACTGGACTCAAACTTTGTTCTGTTGCTTCAGACCAACATAGCTACCCACCCAAAGAAATAACTACTCTTAGGGAATCTCTGCTTTCATTACAAGCTTGTTCATGAAAGTAATATTACTGTGTTCTTAGACTAAATCCAGAAACATTATACTAGAAACATTATGCCATCAGTTCATCATTGTTACACAGATAATTAAAGGAAAGCAATTACATGAGTCCATAAAGATTTTTTACCCCAAAAGTAAGCAGGTCATGGGCAAGGAGCCCCTTCCAAGAAGAAGTTAAGAACATAAGAACATAAGAGACGTCAATGTTGGATCAGGCCAAAGGCCCATCCAGTCCAACACTCTGTGTCACACAGTGGCCAGAAATACCAGTGCCATCAGGAGGTCCACCAGTGGGGCCAGGACATTAGAAGCCCTCCCACTGTTGACCCCCCCCCCAGGACCCAGGAAACCCAACACCCAGCTCTTAGAGGAGGCTTTGACAGGAGATGTGTGACACAGGTAATGGAAATAGAGAAAGAAGTGTCAGAGCTGTTTTGAAGGGCCATATGCTTATCTTAAGTTCTTGATTAATACAACTTCTCCTATTTATAGGATTTTAAAATAATCTCTTAATAATAGCTAACTGTCCCGTCACACAGTTTTGGCTAACTAATTATCTCATAACTTCAAACACCATACAAGGCTATTTATACTTAAAACAGCTTTTGAAAATACATAAAAAGTTAGTTCATTCTCACTACCTTTTTATCTTAACAAAGTCTATTTAAAATAGTGATTATAAGTTTCTCATACATATGAATATCTTTTGGCCCTCCACTAGTACTCCCATCCTTGAATCATATCTTCTGTGAAGCTGGACATTCCTGAGATTCTCAGATGCTTCTTCACCTGAGCCTCAACAAATTGTATCTATCGATAATGGGTTATGAAGCTTCTAGTCTACACAAGGCAATATAATTATTTCCATTCTGTCTTCTTCTTGCTGTCCTTCAAGGCTATTCTATTCTGGGCCGCTACACCCCCTTCTTGGCAGGCTTCCTTGAGAGGCCAGGTTTGTTCTGATAAAGTGTGCCACAACATACTCTATGACCTCTTTGGTCAAGTCCAACAACTATTCCCATGTATTTCTAGCCATATATGTGACAGGAGGGTTGTATTTGAAACAGATTTCAAAGTCATAGTGCCAAAAAGGCACTAATTTAATTCCGGGTATAACAGATTTCAAAGCCATAGTGCCAAAGAGAGAAGGCTGAGGGACTTGGGAATGTTCAGTCTGGAGAAGAGGAAGTTGAGGGGGGACATGATTGCTTTCTTTAAGTATCTGAAGGGCTGTCACTTAGAGGAGGGCAGGGGGCTGCTCCTGTTGGCAGCAGAGGATAGGACTCACAATAATGGGTTTCAATTAAGGGCGGGAAGGTACGGCCAGATAGTAGGGAAAACTGTTTTACAGCAAGAGTTGTTCAACGGTGGAATCAGCTGCCTGGGGGGGGGGTGAGCTCCCCCTCACTGGTGGTCTTCAAGCAGCACCTGGACAAACATGTGTCAGAGATGCTCTGGGCTGATCCTGCATTGAGCAGAGGGTTGGCCTAGACAGCCTGTATGGCTCCTTCCAACTCTGTGATTCTATGAAAAACCCTTGGGTTGAGCCCCAACTTGGCCTATGCCATATAGGAGGCCCACCCAAGACCAGAGGATATGTGGAACCAACTGTGCTGGAGTTGGGCTAAGCCCCAGAACCTTATCAGAAATGAGGCTCAGACTTCTCAGATTGCCTCATCTAAGAAACTGAAAGAAAGCAAAAGCAAAAGTTTTATCAGGGCCTGACAGAGAAGCCCACATTGTGCAGCCTGTAGAGTTTTAAAGGGGAATACAGGTTTCCTTGTAGACTTAACTGGACTAAATGCAGGGCTGCCAAAAGCCTGGGTTGTGAAATTCCTGGAGATTTGGGGGTTTAGCCTGGGGAGGGCAGAGTCTGGGGAGGGGGATGTAATGCCACAGAGTCCACCCTCTTCAGGGGAACTGTTCTCTGTAATCTGGAGCTCAGTGGTAATGCTGGGAGATCTCCAGAGGCTGAGAGAACCCTCATTAGCTGGGGCAGGAGGCGCCAGAGTTCATCACAATGGGGGGGGGGGGGAGAACATAAATTTAAGAACATAAAAGCAGCAAAACAAGATGCCCCATTATATGACAATACATCTTACAAGAACCCAGAATTACCAGCCCCACATTGCTGATGAAGCTGGAGAGCAGAGGCTTGGCGGGGGGCCAGCTGAAAACTGGCAGCCTCCCAGAATCACAGCCGACTTTCTTCACCACTATACTACCCACAAAGCTTTGGGACACACCCGGGTTGTAAACCAGGCCTCGTCAGCCCGACTCCAATATGCTGCCCTCTCTTACTTCCAGTTACTTTCTTTATACTCGTTTTCTTTCACCAGCTTAAAAGAGAACCGTAGCAGGCCCACTATTGCACGTGTTACTTTCCGTGAGCTCACAGTCCCTCAACAGAGAAAGAGAAGTTTGTGCCTCTGATCACACACAGAATGCCGTTCTTCTTCTACCGTCCTCACTTCCCTTCACCACACTGAGGATTCAGAGCCAGGCTTGCTAGGTCAGACAGTTTAGGAGCCGAGCAAATGTACGCTCCAGCACGTATTTTTAAAGAGTTAGCCACAGAACAGGTAATGGTAAAGGTCCCCCTTGCTCGAAAGCCAGTCGAATCCGACTCTAGGGTTGCGGTGCTCATCTCCGTTTCAAAGCCGAAGAGCCACCGCCTGTGCGCCAGAACCTACCTTCCGTCTGTAACCCGCCGGATCCCCCGCCAAGCACCCCACCAGCCACACAAGAGGCAGAGAAGCCCAGCTTCCCCCTACCAGCATGTTGATTCCAATGTAGCAACTCTTCGCCCGGCCACATGACACAGCAGCTGATCGTTCCGGTCCTGTCTTAAAAGGGCAAGGCACTCTTAAAAGGGCAAGGTTTTTGCCCCCTCATAAAGGGGCCGCGGCATGCCAGAGTCCCTACAGAAAGGAATTCTGGATTGAGCCAATTTATTAGGATTCATTTGAATCCTTCCGAGCTGGACTAGTAACGAGAAGACAGTTCCCAAAGCGTAGCTAAACTGTTGCAGTAAAACACTGACCAAGAATCTTATGACGCCTCTGCGCAAATCTAGACTAGAGTGCCTGTAATACAGAATGCGCTTTTTAGTCTTACAACAGTTGCGCGGGGATAGGTAGACAGTCCCATAGCTAGGGACTTTTGGGGGAGGGGGCCATGGGGGGCTGGCAGCTAATTTAATCAAAAGTTCCAGAGCAAGTTGGGGGGGTAATGCCCAGCAGCTGCAGGACTTGTGTGTACACCAACCACTGGGCGGTGAGGATAAGTGGTGGGCTCCAGAGCTGGGCTAGTAACGAGAAGACAGTTTCCAAAGCGTAGCTAAACTGTTGCAGTTAAACACTGACCAAGAATCTTGTGACGCCTCTGCGCATGTCTAGAGTGCCTGTAATACAGAATGCGCTTTTGGGCCCCATGTTAGCTATGGGCCTGGGTAGAGATTCTATGGGGCAGTTTTTCCCAGGGTCGGGCACGTTTTCCTGACTGACTTCCTTCTCGCCTGAGTTCCGAGGTGGGAGAGGTGGACTGGTTGAGGAAGGACCATGCGTTTGTTGGTTTGCATGCAGAAGGTCCCAGGTTCGGTCCCTGTTAGTTTGTAATGTCAATAAAAATTAATAGTGTGCCAGTGCAAATAAGATGAATTAAGTTAGATTAATAAATTTGAAAGGAAATCACACAGAGGGGCTGGAAAGCACCTTTCTGTGGCCTTCAAGAGGTGCCGCCCTCAGAAACAGGCCTGGGCTAGGTGCACTGTCTTATGCAACTCTGTGAAACGGACTACAGATTTTCCACATGGAAATAATTCATCTGATCATACGCTACTTTTCTACATGCTGGGATTCCCACCCCCAACTTTAAAATGGAAAAGTGAACATGCATGTCCCACTGCAGTCTAAAAGTGGCACGCACGAGGTACAGAACTGGACTGGGCTTCTTCCTAGAGTGCCACAGCCACAAACCTTTACAAAAATGGATCAGGGAGGCATATAATTAAAGGAACTCAACATGTACATAAAGTGCCTTTCACTCAATCACTGAGCAACCCTACCATCCCTTGTGTTACACCACCATCCTACCTCAGCATATTTATGTGGCTGTAGTGGTTTGTTATTTATTTATTTTATTTATGACATTAAGCTTCTATACCTCCCTCCCCACAAGCAGGCTCAGGGTGGTGCACAAGTTCATATAAAATACAATCTAACATATAAAATACAATAAATAATCTAAAAGTTTTGTTGTTCAGTCGCACAGTCGAGTCTGACTCTTCGCGACCCCATGGACCAGATCACACCAGGCCTTCCTGTTGAGTGCTCCCTTCTCATTTGGTGGCCAAAGTATCTGAGCTTCAGTTTCATTATCTGGCCTTCCAGGGAACAGTCAGGGTTGATTTCTTTTAGGATTGACTGATTTGATCTTCTTGCAGTCCAAGGGACTCTCAAGAGTCTTCTCCAGCACCATAGTTCAAAATAATCTATTATTCGGCGCTCAGCCTTCCTTATAGTCCAATTCTTGCAGCCATACATGACTACTGGGAATACCATTGCTTTGACCATGTGGACTTTTGTTGGCAGGGTGATGTCTCTACTTTTTATCATGCTGTTTAGGTTCGCCATCGCAGTTCCATAAAACCTAATATCCAGGGCTTTTTTTGTAGAAAAAGTCCAGCAGGAACTCATTAGCATAATAGGCCACACCCAACAGAAAAAAATTATTAGCTTATTAGGACACACCCCTGACAGCACAGCTCATTAGCATATTAGGCCACACACCCCATGTTCGCAGAAGTATGGTCATCCAGACACACCCACCTTTTGCTTCTTATTCTGTTTACCTTGTTTGTTGCCAAAACCCAGGGCTTTTTTGTAGCAGGAGCTCCTTTGCATGTTAGGCCACACACCCATACTGTAGCCAGTCCTAATGAGTTTCTGCTGTTGGATGTGGCCTATTGTGCTAATGCGTTCCTGCTGGGTGTGGCCAACTCGGGAACCAACCAGAACTCCGTTCCTGTGCGTTCCTGCCCCAAAATAGCCCTGCATTAGTAATATCTACATGGCGTCATAGTGCAAAGTTCTGATCCCCCCAGTTTACATAGGCATGCAGGGGGAGGGGGTGAATCAGTTAGTGGTCTGGATAGTTGTTAAAAACTGCTGGAACCGTTAAAAGCCATTGCTGTCCTCAACCATATGCTTGGTGAAACATCTCTGCCTTGCAAGCTCTGTGGGATTTTAACAAGTCCTGCAGGGCCCTGATATTAGTAGGCAGAGAGTTTCACATTGGAGCCAATGCTTTTGCTCAACTTCAGCTGGTGCATCAGCTGCACCTATTCCTGCTCCAGTTAGATCTAGCCACCGTTATCCATGCCTTAGTGACATCTAGACTGGACTTTTGCAATGTACTCTCCTTGGGGCTACCCTTGAAGAGTGTTCAGCAGCCACAGCTAGTGCAGAACACTGCTGCTAGAGTGCTGGTCAGGGTCAGGACTGGAGCACGTGACCAAGTCCTGTGAGGAAAGGTTGAAGGCGCTGAGTATGTTTAGCCTGGAGAGGCAACAACTCAGAGGTGATACGATAACCAAGTTCAAGTACTGGAAGGGCTGCCATATAGAGGATGGTATGGAATTGTTTTCTGTGGACCTAGAAGGTTGGACCAGAACCAATGGGTTGCAATTACACCAAAAGAGTTTTTGGCTAAACATTAGGAAGAACTTCATGACAGAGCAGTTCCTCAGTGGAACAGGCTTCCTCGGGGGGGGGGGGGGGCTGGGGGGGCTCCCCTTCTTTGAAGGTTTTCACACAGAGGCTAGATGGCCATCTGACAGCACTGCTGATTCTGTGAACTTAGGCAAATTATGAGAGGGAGGGCAGGGAGGGTTGCATCAGTGCTTAGTTCTCCGTGGCCCTTTCTTACATACCTATGGAAATGCTGATTGCTACTTTGGGGTCATGAAGCAATTTTTTTCTCCAGGCCAGTTTGGCTGGGGAACCTGGAGGTTTTTTGTCATCTTCCAGACATGGAGCAGGGCAGGGTCACTGGGGGTGTGGAGGGGGAGGTATTTGTGAATTTCCTGCATTGCGCAGGTGGTTGGACTAGATGACCCTGGAGGTCCCTTCTAGCTCTATGATTCTATGTGACCCTGTTATTACAGCAATTACACTGGCTACTAATCTACTCATGAGCCCAATTCAAGATGTTGGTCTTGTCCTTTAAAGCCCTCCACAGCTTGGAACCAGGGTATCTAAAAGTTCAGTCAAGATCACAGGGAGGGGCCCACCTGACTGTCCCATCAACCAAAGATGATAGTCTGGTGGGCCTTTTCAGTGGCAGCCCCACAATGATGGGGAAATCTCCCCAGGGAGGTGCACCTGGCCCCCTCACTCACCTTAAGGCACAAGTGAAGATGATTTTATCTAGAATGGCATTTTATTATTCCCCCCCCCTTACTGGCAGTTTTAAATTGTGAATATAATTCACAGTCTTTTGTGTGTGTTATATATTTTTATGTTCTGTGTTCTATTTACATTGTAAGCTACCATAAGTTCTGTAAGGCAGGACGGCAGCCAATAAATCTTTTAAATAATATATATATATATTTAAAATTGAGGCTTCTTTTGAGGTTCCCAAGAGGTAAGCTTATTATTTATTGCTACAAGCCAAATGGATTCTGTTATGACAAGCAGAAGTGAGGGTGGACGAAAAGCATGTCTGGTGCAAAGAACTCCTCTGGAGGTTGAATCTGTCCTTATTCGCTGGCGACAGTTCCTGGTAAATCACTGCTCCTCTTTATTGTTAGGAAGATGTAAAAAATGTTTTGTTTACGTGTGTGTGCATGTGTGTGCTTTAAAGTACACTAACTTACCCTCCACCACCACCTGTAAACGCTGACAGTTTTCCTGATTTACTATTACTCCATAATGAAAAGTCAAATCTATGATGAAGCACATAGTTAATTGGCTGCCACCCTTTAACAAACACTTCTCATAAGAGGATCCCTGCTGGATCAGACCAGGGGTCCGTCTAATTTCACACAGTGGCCAACCAATTGCCCTGGAGGACCAAAACTCAGGGTGTAAAGGAAGCCTCTTGGCACTGGGTTTCAGAGGCTGACTGCCTCTGGATGTGGAGGTTCCCTTTACTCACCATGCCTGATAACCACTGAAAGACCTACCCTCCACGAATCTGATTCCCTTTTAAAGCCATCCATACTTGAGGCCATCACTACATCCACTGACAGTGGATTCCATAATTTATTCACTCATTGAGTAAAGTCATATTTTCTTTTGTCCCTCCTGAATGTATTGCCTAGTAACGTTACTGGATGCTGTCTAGTTCTAGTGTTACAGGAAATCAGGAAAAGGTCTCTCTGTCCTCTTTCTGCACCCTATACAGAGTTTTATCATCTTTATAATTTCTCCCCCATCACCTTTTTTTTGTAAAATGACAAGTCCCAAACTTCAGTTTTTCCTCCCAGGAAAGGCTTTTTCACCCTCCTGAATCATCTCTGTTTCCCTCTCGTGCACTTTCAACAGCTCTTTGGGAATCAGGGGAGGATACAGTTTATAAAGAAAAGCCTTCAACAATGTGCAATAGTAAAAGGTGGAGGGGCACTCAAGTGTGATGGGCTGTGATCTTGGGTGTGAAGAAAGACAGGGGCTATAAATATACAGGGGCTACTTTCACCCGGGATAAAGTAGGGGGAGCATGGGGCTTGAATGTTGTGTTGTTGTTACCATCAAGCCAGGTGTTAGCCAATCTGCTTTAT